ATTTCTTTTAGAGGATTTCAGGATATTAAGAAAGATTTCATTGATACTGAAAGCATCTGGGACCACTCTGGGTATTTTAGAGATCTGTTTCTGATGTTTTTCCTCTTTATTAATCCATCTTTGCTTATTTCCTGTGTATTCATTATGACTCTTCAGAGGCCATTAAGCAACTCTCAGCTGCTGGGGATCCATTTCTAAATGTATATATTCAATTGCTGAATATTATAATTAAAAGAGGCTTAGTAGTTATTCCTGAGTGAAGATCAGATGCATATTCAATAATAGGCTTTCAAAATACCTTTCCAGGTGCAATATAAATAAATATGATCAATACAATTTTAGATCAGAGCCAATTTCTATTTAGCATTTTGTGGTTTGTTTCAGTTTCTTTCCATTTTTAAGGTTACGATTAAAAGCTTCTTTCATTCTGGATTGAAATCAGACTCACCTGGCATTTTCAAATTTGTCATTGCAAAAGTTTCTAATAGTTTAGAAGTAATTAATGAGAAATTTCTGGAAGCAACTAGAAAGTGAGATTTGTAATTTAGTGTCCTTTATAAGCCTTCCCTGAGGTTGTAACCAAGATGGCTAATCCTGCCATCTCCTGGCACTCAAATCAACAGAAACCACTGCCCTGTGGTCTTCTCATGTGGACCAACTCTCCAGATCATATGAAGGTGATCTCCCATCCTCTCCTTGTCCAAAGAGGTTTCAAGGAGCCAGTCTATCTTCCTGTTCCTTAGTCTTTGCTGTGGTAATTGGATCGTCTTTTGGAGAGCTGTCTTCAATTCACCATATGTCCCCTAGAAGTCCAGTTTAAAGCAAATGATATCAAAACCTTTCAAAATAGATCTGATATAGCAAGGGTCCTCAACCTTGGCAACTTTAAGACATGTGGACTTCAACTCCCAGAATTCCTCAGCCAGTCCACAAGTCTTACAGTTGCCAAGGTTGAGGACCCCTGTGATACAGAACTGATCTCTATATTTCCATCAATATATAAAACATATGGCTTTTTTTAAAAAAAAAATAATAATGTCTATTGTTAGAAGCCAGATTTTGTCATTGCCATTGTCTGGAATAAAATGCATCTATCCCCCAAAAAATTAAATGAGCAACAGCAATGTTTGAAAGATTCTGAAATAAAATCTATTACATTATCAAATCTATTACATTATTATATTATTTATTATCCTGATAGGTAGTCACTTCAGGTATATGAAAAGGTGATGATTAATTTGTGTACTCTTTTCAATGGCATTTATATTAACAATTCTTTACCCCAAGGCATCAGCTTTAATTTTTTTTTTCCCTATTCTGCTTTTGGGTTGATTTGTTTTAGTTCATTTCTTATGAACTAAGAAATGAACTAAGTTCATTTCTTGTTTAATTAACAAAAATAGAAAACAACAAAATAAATATTTAATTTAATAGAACAGCTGGAAGGGATGTTGGAGGTCTTCTAATCCAGCCCCCGCTTAAGCAAGAGAATCTATACCATCTCAGACAAGTAACTATCTAGCGTCTTCTTAAAAATCTCCAGTGATGGAGCACCCATGATTTCTGGAGGCAAGCTGTTCCACTGATTAATTGTCCTCACTGTTAGGAAGTTTCTTCTTAATTCTAGGATGCTTCTCTCTCTATTCAGTTTCCAACCATTGTTTCTTGTCCTGCCTTTTGGTGCTTTGGAGAATAACATGACCTCCCCTCATCTTTGTGGCAGCCCCTCATATACTGGAATACTGCTATCATGTCGCCCATTTCTTCTTTTCTTTAGACTAGTCAAACCCAAGTCCTGCAGCCGTTCTTCATATGTTTTAGTATCTAGGCCTTTGATCACCTTAGTTGCTCTTCTCTGAATTTTTTCCAAACTCTCAACATCTTTTTTGTGATATGGTAACCAAAATTGTCTGCAATATTCCAGATGTGGTCCTACTAGGGTTTTATAAAGCGGTACTAATACTTTGAGTTATCTTGATTCTATGCCACATTTATTTTTTGGAGAGAGAGAGAGAGAGAGAGAGAGAGAGAGAGAGAGAGAGAGAGAGTCATGCAGTTGGCTTTCATGCCTAAATTGAGACTAGAACTCACATTCTCCTGGTTTCTAGTTTCGTACCTAATCCCTAACAAACTGAGTCTCTAGATTATGTTAGAAGAGGTAGTCCTGAAGTGATAGATCTGTGTAATCTGTGTAATTTCTAGTACATCATCATCATCAGTTAGGACTGCCAAATCCTAATTGATTCACTCTCCATTTTAGTAAATCAGAAATGAACCCCTTGTAGCCCCAGGGATACAGGACCTGATTCCTGAAAAGAGAGAGCATAGTGTTCTGCCTTTTTCAGACTGGGAACAGTTTACAGCTCTAGTGGAAGTGGTAAAAGAGAGTATACTTGTTAAAAATAATGAAAGACCCCAAATGCCTCACCCACACTAAACTTTGAATGCCACACCCAATTTTTCAGCAGTGCTCTCCAATGTTGTGTGCCTATGGGTAATGTGGAATAATAATCAATCACTAGAATAATGATGTGTCTGCATAATTACTGGAATAATGCTGTGTTAGTAGTATGTGACTAACCTAATGCGCATTGCACTTGGATACAATGTATGTAGCAAACTCTCCATTGTATACCCGTGAGAAATGAACCTAATGTATTACAATGTGTATTACAATGTGTATTCCTTTGTTCCTGAGAAAAGGAAAGTATAAAACTGAAGTCTGAACCTGCCCTCGGGTTCAGAATTGCTGGTTGCTATTGCTTCTGAACCTGCGCAATAAATCTCTCTGCTAAAACCCTCTGGAATTCGTAAGAGTCCTTTCATTTTCCACAAGATGGGCAGCAATTAATCCCTGTTCCTCTTCTTACTAATGAATTGAAGAGAAGCTAAAGGAATCAGCAATGCATTTTTTTTTTTGTTCTGGAAAAACTAATCTATGTATCCTATGCTTTAAAAATCTCTTGATTACTAGGCTACAGTTAGTGATTCTCATGCTACCAGAACTAGGTGGAGGTCCACATATTCTAATGCTTTTAAAATACCTGGCAGGTTTTGTTTTGTTTTTTTTTTTGTAAGAAGATAAATAGTAACAATAACACACCAGTATGTGGCTGAGAATCAAGGGAGTTGTGTTTCTTCTCTCTTATAATCCTCTACCTCACAAGGCTACCACTGCAGAACAAAAAGGTTGCTGCACACAGCCCTGCAAAGTTAATATTTCAATTCATACTGCTCTAGCAGCATTTACACCTACAAGGTTACATGAATGGGAAGCAGAAGGAAAGTATGCAGCAAGTTCATGTTAGATATAATGCAGGCCTGAATACCTTTTATTTTTCTGCACGATTAGAGCCATTTTCAAAACCTTGATCATTATAATCATCCAGATAAATGTTATGGTTTCTCAAGTTGGTAATGAGTATTTCTGCTGCTTGTTCTCCACTGATGCACTCAATAAATCTTTCCTTAATGTTGAATCTGCTTATATCTTTGTGGTGAATTATAAACTGGAATAACACCTTGACCAGAGATATCAGGAATAACACCACATTTGAAGTAATAATGAATGCTTTTGTCCTTCCCTTACAAGGATGGCTTTCTACACATTTTCATCAGAATTCAATAAATTCATTCTCACTGTCACAAACGAGATAAGGACCTCATCCTTCCATCATTTTGGCCTCTGTTTGACATTGGCAAATGCTCCTGAGTGATGCCATCATAATAAGCTATTAAGAGTTTCAAGGAAATGGCCTTTGTGTGGGTTACAAACATTATCGGATTGTCTGCAGGAAATACTAAACCTTTTGAAGCAAGATAAGGTAGAATATATTCAATACTTTTTCCATCTCACTGCTTCTCTTAAGATTTGTTTTAGAACGTCACTGTCCTTTCCATGATCACCTGACCATGGATGGTGCAATTCTTTCCATTAGCAACGTCAAGTGTTATCATATGTGCTTTTTTGTCATTCAGGAAGTTTGTTACACAGCCAATGACCTTTCTTCACATTTGCTTCACATTCTTCCCTTTTTGCCAGCTGCCTGCTGTTTTTGCTTCCATCAGAAAATAACCAAGATGGAAAACAATACACAGTTTGATTGGTGGGACCAATAAAGGAGAAAAATTGTAACCCAGGGTTGAAATGAGGGGTCCTTGGTGCTCTTTGAGCTTGGTTGTTTTCTTGCAGATGTTTCATTACCCAAACTAGGTAACATTATCTGTGCACCAGTGATGTTACCTAGTTGGGTAATGAAACATTGGTAACAAAGCAACCAGGTTCAGAGAGCACCAAGAACTAGTGGGACTCCAAACAAGCCATTCTCGGTAATTGTTCTATACTGAGAGCCTTGTTTTTAAGAAATACTAAATAGCATCTTATGGAGTTGATTTTGCTATTTTCTGCATTTCTTCACGTGCCAGGATATCAAATAGAAGCATTCTGGTTGGACAGCTTCTATTTTCAGTTTAAGACAGAAACCTGGACCATTGTGAAAGCATGAATATGCAGCATCGGTCCAGGTTTTCCTGGATTTTGCAGATCTTCTTTTCAGTATGTTGATGGTAGAAATGGTAATGATATTGACTATCTTTGGAAAGCTTTAGATTAAAGCCATATTTTCCATCTGGCACCATTTTCCAGCGACAGTGCCAGAGCCATTATATATTATCACTTCCAACTCGATTGTTCATGTGTTCCTTCCATCTCACCTAATCCAGAAAGGTCTTGCCTGATTTGAAAAGCAGGATTGAATTTTTTTTTAGCTTCTTTGAGTACCTTTTATCTTGCCTACTTTGGTTTCTGGCTGCAAGTTTTGTATATGTAGCCAGACATTATGAATGCAAGAACAGTTTTGTGCAGTTTTCTTTGTAATGTGATTGCTTGTTCCTCTCCTGATTCCATATACTCAAGGGACCCTGAGACTTTCATTTCTTGAGATAGCATGTCACATAAAAAAACCCTTATTTTTCTCTCTCTCACTGCTACTACATTCTAGATTTCACTCTGTTGGTGTTTATGGATGGATGGATGAAAATAGAGATGTTGCTGCACTTGGTACAGGTTAGTACATAGCACAATAGAGATAAGTAAGTACTTAATGCATGCTTTTCTAATTTGATGCATGCTTATCTTACTATCACTTTACAGAGTTGCTTGACACCTAATTTGCAATCAATAATCTGTTTGTAAATTGAGGCTCTTTGTTCCTATAGTAGATATAGCATGTCTATGGTGGTGAGGAGAGTTTGATGTGATGGTAAAGACTAAAAGGGATAGTAACTTCTACTGTAGTTCCATCTTAGTCACCAAAACAGCTGGGTGACTTTTGCCAGTTGCTCTCTCCCAAAGGACATGAAAGCAAATAAGGGCAAACCACTTCTGAAATCTTGCCAAGAATATTGCAGGGACTTTTTTGGGTTTGAGGAGGAGGAGGAGGAGGAGGAAGAGGAGGAAGAGGAGGAGGAGGAGGAGGAGGAGGAGGAGGAGGAGGAGGAGGAGGAGGAGGTTTGATGGAGTGTGTCTTTCACCTTGGGAATGTTGTTAATATCCTTTGTGTGATAGATTAGGCCAGGGGTCTTCAAACTTGGCCCTTTTATGACTTGTGGATTTCAACTCCCAGAATTCCTCAGCCAGTCATGCTGGCTGAAGAATTCTGGGAGTTGAAGGCCACAAGTCATAAAAGGGCCAAGTCTGAAGACCCCTGGATTAGGCTATGAAAACCCTTGCAAATAAACTATTTGGAGACTGATTCTTGGATTCCTGGTCTTGACTGAATAGATAGGCAGACTGGGATGATTTTCACTGAAAAAGCAGATGAGAAGGGAGAAGGAGCTGTGGTTCTCATGATTTGCTCCAGCAAACTGAAGAAATCCTTATAGAAAGGACATGAATTTCCTTGTATATATCTTCATTTAATGTATTATAGTGTTAGTTAATTCTTTCTCTCCTGTGGCTTTCCTATAAAGGGCATAAATTTTACCCCAGAAGGTTGGGCCCTGAGGCATAATAAATGTGATGATCCTATGACACATATGCTTTTGTTACTTAACCATGATTTTACTCAGCCAACTTTTCTCTTTTTGAACAAAGCACAAACAGTAAGCACACTGTAGGCTAGTTTTACACAGCAGTCACTGATAAAATGTTACTGCTGTTCAGTTCATCATGCAAATTCAGGTTCTTTCGGCAGAGGGTTTGGCCGCCTAGTGCTGCTGGGCTGCCTGGGCCATCTGCGGCGGGCCCTGGAGGCAATGAGTGGTCCTATGGGCAGGTGGGGCAGGGCAGGGGGTTGGAGTGGAGGTGGGGCCAGATTTTGGGCACTTGGTCTCTAAAAGGTTCGCCACCACTGATATATCCAATCAGGCTAGAGAATTAAAACATTCCCAATGAGTGACTGTTTTGCCTCCATTTGAAAATATCCAGCAAAGAATTGGTTCTTTCTCGGCATAGCTGATTCTATAACCTAACTGCCCTGTTAAGAATTTTTTTTCCTTAACATTCAACTAAGACCTGCTTTCCTGTAATTTAAAAGGATTATTCCATCCTCTGAACTGTTGAAGGAGAGAGAACACACCTGACCTTCCTCTGGGTAACATCCTTTCAGAAAACTGAGCAATGCTTCAGTCTACTCTTCTCAAGGTCAGACATGTCCAGTTGCTTAAGTCTGTCTCCTAGTCATTTGATTGTTCTTGTCATCCTTCTTTGAAACTATTCAAGTTCATCTGAATCCTTCTTAAAGTGGGCTGTCCAGAACTGCAGACAGTCCTCAGAGTGACATCTGATCAAAGTACAATAAAGCAGCATCATTACTACTTGTGATTTGGAAACTGAATTCCAATTTATTCAATTTAAAACTGCATTGCTTTTTTTTTTTCTTTGCAGCTCTACCTTACTGCTGATTGCTATTCAGCTGACAATCAACTACAGGGGACCACTGATTTACAATCACTTATTTAGTGATAATTTGGAGTTACAATAGCACTGAAAAAAAACTGACCATTTATGGCCATTTTTCAGACTTATGACCTTTGCAGAATCCCCATGGTCATGTGATCAAAATTTGGAAGCTTGGCAACTGTCATTACTTTATGACAGTTGCAGTGTCTTGGGTCATGTGATCACTTTTTGTGACCTTCCAACAAGCAAAATCTATGAGGAAGCCAGATTCACTTAACAATTGTAATACTAACTCAGGGGTCTTCAAACTTGGCCCTTTTATGACTTGTGGACTTCAACTGCCAGAATTCCTCAGCCAGGCACGCTGGATGAGGAATTCTGGGAGTTGAAGTCCACAAGTCATAAAAGAGCCAAGTTTGAAGACCCCTGTACTAACTTAACAACTGGAGTGATTCACTTAACAACTGTAGTAAGGAAGGTCATAAAATGGGGCAAAATTCATTTAACAATTTTCTTTCTTAGCACTGGAAATTTTGGGCTCAAATTGTGGTCACCAGTACAAGACTACATGTACTAGTCCAACTTTATATTTTCTCAGTTATTCTTATCAAACTAGGTATTCCTTTATGTATGAATACCCCCCCAAACTACTTAGTATTTAATTTAGTATTTAATTTAGTATATTTAAAGTATTTATATTTATTTAACACAAATGTCTTTCTGTTATTTCACGCAGATTTTGAATTTTATTTCTGTCTTCCATGATATTGGATATCTGACTCAAATATTGTCATCTATACATTCTATCTTTGCATCCAAGCTATTAATAATAAAAAAATTGAATGCATGACCCAGGACTGAATCTTACCCCATTCAGAATCTTATTCCAAATTGATGAGAAATTATTGACAAGCATTCTTAGGTATTATTTCTGAGCTACTTACATATCCCATAATTATGCCATTAATTAGCCTACAATTAATTAGCTTGCAGATCAGGATGTCATGGGGCATTTTGTCAACTCTTGCTGAAATCAAGATACATTACATCTGCAGCAGCCCCACATTTTTATTTGAAAGTTTCTCTGCCAATTCATAAGAAAAGATTACCTGGCAAAAGATGTTTTTGATCTGTAATTATTATCATGTTTTGAAGGTATTATTGATAGGTCTTTTAAAAAGTTTTACTCTTGAATCTTCTCAGGTATCAACGCTAGCCTGGTCCATAGTTGATGGTGGGATTCAGCCGGTTCGCACAACTTCAGCAGAACTGGTAGCTACTTTTGGGGCCCAGGCCCAGAATGGACTTCCGGAAGTGGCATCCACACAGATAACTGGTTGTTCACATATTTGAATCCCACCACTGTCCATAATTTCCAGGATCCCTCCCCCCCTTTTTGGGGGGGAGGGGGGGAGAAAGTATATGCTGTTTGCCATGTTCATTTTTGGCCAAATCATCAAGTAGATCCTTCAGTACATTAGATTGCTATTCATCTGAGTCTGAAGATTTAAACTTAGAACATAGAATAACAGGGTCTGAAGGGAACTTGGAGATCCTGTTATCCAACTCCTGATCAAACTGAGACTCCATACCATTCCAGACAAATGGCTATCCAAACTCTTCTTCAAAACCTCTAGTGATGGAGCACCCACAACTTCTGAAGGCTGATTGATTGTTTTCACTGTCAGGAAATTTCTCCTTAATTCTAGATGGGATCTCTATTAACCTAGATCCCTCTCCTCGTTATTATTGTTCAGCCAGCTACCATTTATTCCATACCTGTGCATTGGATTCCAGAGCATGTTTTTCAAACTTCAATCTTGTCCTTTCATCAATTTTTTACCATTGCTTGGTGAAATGCATACCCTCTTCTTGGAGAAAATAGAATCAAAATAGAAATTGAATAATTCTGCTTTATCTCTATTGCCTATTAACACTTTAGCCTCTTCACTGACCAGCTGCTATACCTCCCTTCTGTTTACTTTGGATTCCCCGGCAAAAAGTCTTTTGGATTTTGTTAGCATTAATCAGCTACCTATGTCTACTATTTCTGCTCTTCAATCTATCTTCTATGGGGGGCTTTGTTAGATAAACATGGACATGAAAAGTTGGTTGCTTACCAGCTTTCATATTTTCTAAAAATGTTATAAGCCATGTCTCAGCTAGAAAAAGAAGGAGAAATGAGAGAGGGAGGTCTTAAAATGTAAATGATGACAGAAAATAATACCCATTTATATTACTATACTTTTAGAAATCAGTATTCTGGAAAAAATGCAGCATAGGCTTGAAGCCTATTGATAATAACCTAGGCATATTCCTGTTGCACACAAAATTTCCTTCAGTGACACAACCATATTATCCTTACAAAAGTGGAACTATCATGCAAATCAATTTTAATATAGACAGAAAAAAAATCACAGAAGAAATACAGACTTTCTCACTCCTCCCATTTTGACTCAAAAGTTATAACTGTAACACTTTTAAGAAATATGCACTAAAATGTTGAATTAATGATTAAGCTGAAAGATGAACCAAAGTAATTTTAGATTAATCAATTGCTTAATTGGGATTGAGGTCCTATTTCCCACAGCAGATTTTATCTTCTTTTGACCCTTCATTTCCTTTAAAAAGGGAAATAAAAAAACATCAGTAACAAAATACTAAATTACCAAATGCTGTATAAATGATTACAGGTAGGAATATCATGGTCAGATATTATAAAAATGTGAAAATATTATTTTACCCAAACAAGCAGATAAAGATATTAATTAAATGACAGAAATACTTTAATATGAATGCCAAATTAAGAAATGGTTGAGGGAAAAGGCTATATTGATATACCTCGTGAAATCACTGAAAGCCCCCCCAGAGGGAGAGGTGATTGGGAAAACACTGGAATGTGCAGAAATGAATAGACTAACAATGACAATTAAAGATAAGATAGAGTCAGACTACTATGAAATCTGGGGAACTTTTTATGATTGGCTGAAAAGAGAATACAGTTAAAAGATAGTTAACATCAATTTAGATGGAAGAAGAAGGAGCAGATAAGGAGGGAGACCCAGGCGACACAGTATTGAATAACTGGAGGTTGTATAAATGTTTATAGAAGTATTTACCAAGAAGGTTAGATAAATAGAAGTATTAATCTTATTGTATATAATACAGATATGGAAATTTGGAGAGAGGAGTTGCTCGGACATTACCCCTGAATTGTATCTGAAGAGGGATGAGAGGGAAGAAAGGAGAGGAGAGAGAAAAGAGTAAAGGAGGGGAGAAGGAAGTAGGAAGGTTGGAGGAGAAGAGGAGAAGTAGGGAGAAAGGGGAGGAGAGTGGTGAAGGAGAGGAGAGGAAGAAGAGGGAATTAGGGAAGAGAAGAAAGGGAGAAAGAAGGTAGAGAAGAAGGAGTTTGGATACGGTGAAAGGGGAAATGGGCGAGCAACACCAAAAGTCATGTGTATGTATTTATTTCATTTTATTAAAAGTATCTTATATATGAATGTAAAAAGAATGTATGTTAACATCTGATAAATATTACGGTATATGTATGGGGGAGAGTTTGGAAAAATAAAAAATTATTTAAAAAAAAGATATACCTTGTGAAATCAGTTTTATTTACAGCTTAAAAATATGGCCTTAAATATCAGTGGCTACATGGATGGCATTTGGATTCCATGATAGTGGAATATCTCTGGGATGCTCATTAAGATCTCCTGGGAAGAGACAGTCTACAGTTTCTGAAGGATCAGAAAGAAATATATGGCAGGCACCTCTCCAGTCTCATCAGGAGGATATGAAAGTTAAACAAAAAGGAGGTTGACGAAGCCTAAATCTCAGTATGAGTTATAAACTGGGAACAAGAAAGCAGAATATAAATGGAGACAAAAGAGATCAGGATGAGTACTCAGAATTTTGCAGGAAACTACAATGATAAGGTTGGTAAATGATGCTACTCAAATGTTGAATTTTTCTAAACCAATATACAGAGTATGGGAAATAAACAGGGAGTATTAGAAATCCTAACCAGGAACGAACGAACGAATGAATGAATGAATGAATGAATGAATGAATGAATGAACGATGAATGGATATACTGTATATATGGATATATATTCTGATAATTAGCATATAGAAGTGGAAGGAAGTCTACCTAAAAGAAATATTAAAATAAAAACCAATATACATGTTGGGAAATTATATTGTATATCAATAAAATACAGTATAATTGCACAGAAAATTAGGAATCACATTATGGAAACTCTATTGAAAGTGTCTGGGTTATAATAAACAGAGAGAAAAATAAATGTGAAACTATTAATGGATTTTTTTATAGACTGCCTGGCAAATGACCAGTTTTTGAAAGAGGCAGGCAATATAATTACAGGGGATTTCAATTATTTTGACATCAGCTAAGGTTCTAAGTCTGCCAGGAGTCAGAATTCAGGCAATCTCTTCTCCTCTCTTGCTGACAGGTTCATTTATTATAAGACAGAGGAAAGAACAAGAGGGTCTTCTGTTCATGACTCTAGCTTTCAACAACAGAAAAAAACTTGATTAAAGAGGTAAAAGTGGCATCTTGGAGGAAAATGACCATATTATTTTTGAATTCATGATATCCAAAGGAAGAGCAACTTAAAAAGAGGAATAAAACATACAGGTTGAGCTTCAGAAAAGTAGATGTTGAAGAACTTGATTAGGAAGATGTCAGAACCAATGGCTTGAAATCCTTATAAGCAAAAAGATGAGAGAAATCCCAGAAAAATGGAAAGTCCCACAAAATGACATTTCCAAGATAGATATGTTTCTTAATCCATCATCCAAGTAATTTATAAATACATTAAACATCACAAAGCTAGAATGGAACCATGTAAAATGTCTTTTGACTCTTCCTTCCTT